AAAAAAAAAAAAAAAATCATCTAAATTCACCGTTACACCCTATTAATCGCTGATTGTTTAAACCGCCACCCAAAGAAGGTAGAGCAGGGGAGGATGGTAAGAGTTCGGAACCGTAGAAGGGGGAAAAGAAAGAAGTCTGCCAATCCCCCACGTTTTCCCACGTCTCCTCGAGGGCGTAGGGAGGCTGAGCGCTGCCACCTGGCGGCGGCTCCTTCCCAAGTTGGGAGCCTGCAGGCTGCAGAGCAAACCCTTAGCTCCCCATGGGTGTGCCTGGCCTCCGCCTTGCGAAATGGAGCAGAGGCTCCTATTCATGTTTCTAATGTATGTGACCCAGACAAACAATCGTTTTCTTCTTCTTCTCATCAGAAAATTGAGAGGAAAGGAAAATGAGTTGGCATTGGTATGAAGTGCTTATTTAAGCCTATCAGGTGCTAGTGGCTGGATAGGAGGGGAGAGAAAATGGTAAAAATAATTAGAAATTCAGGGTTCTTATCTCTTAAGAGTGGAAATATATCATGAATTTTATTTTACTCCAGCGTCCTCTTTTGATATTTTGCAAATAAGAAATAATTCCATCTTTTTTTATTACTCTTTTTTAATGCAACTCACCAAAAAGGAAATCCAATTCCAATACATCAACCCAAAAGGATGAAGTGCAAGTTATGTTTGTTTACTTGATTAAGAAGTCAGCCTCAGATGGAAGATTCTTTTCCATAAGGTGTGGAACCCAAAAGCCTGAAGCCTTTGAGTTTGCAAAGGCCAATGACATAAAATTTCCCAGGGCTTCTTCCCTGTCTGCTAAGGGAACAAAGACAGGGGTTTTTTTTCCCTTCTTTATTTTTATTTGAACTGAATACTTGTTAGGTCAGCCCAGCTCTTACGATTATAGTTTCTATAAAGAAGGCAAGGCAAAATCTTGCAAACCAGTGCAAATCCAGATTTGTTAAACTAATTTCCCTTCAGCCCCACCCCCCTTTATGCTATAGGAATATATTAAGCGGTGGGAATCTTATTTCCATCTATAACCCATACTATTTTATGGGTGTGAAATTTTTATGTTGTGCAGGTGTGTGAGAGCAGAAGAAATGAATTAGCAGATATCACACTACATCTCAAATAGAATTCCATTATTTAATGGAAAATAAATATTTCCCTTAATTCAAAATTTGAAATGTCTAACATCATTGCTAACAAAGACAATTAGTCTATTATTCTAAAACAAAACTTGTTTGCAAAGTTATCTTAGTTTATTGTTAATATAGCTTAAAGAGCAGCATTATCAAGAATTACTTCGTGTACTGCAAAGCCAGCAGAGGGAACACTGAGTACTGATTTAGTAGGGGCCACCAAATATCTGGTATGGGGGGGGCGGGGGTGTCAGTAATGGAGAAAGGGTTATAAAGTACATGAAATTAAGTAATAAGAACACAAATCTTTTCTCATTATTTGCTATTCAGAGGCTAACACATTCCAGAGAGCACATACTTAGTTGGTGAGAAAGATAATTTTAATAAAATGTTGTTTGTCATGTTTTCTTACATTTTAAGAGAATTACCAACATAAGAATAGACCTACTTCAGAAGTCTAAGCATTCATATATAATAATCTTACAAAGTCAATGGAAATTACTGTTACCATATTTATTTAAGTCTAAGAACTTTTTCATTTTCAACATCTCTGAAATAGGTCTATGTCCTACCACTGGGGGATGTCACAGTTTCATTGGTAGCTTTTCTCCCATAGTGGCATGTAACAATGGTGTTTCTTAAAATTTGTTGGATTTGTTGTAATGCAGAAAATCCATGGAACAACAGAAATAGGCTAGGTTTTTTTTGTTTGTTTTTTGGTACATACTTTAAAAATAACCTATGTGTTTTAAACATAAACAAAATTACTATGCCTGCTTTGATTAACTTCTACTTTTCATATTCAGTGGTAGAAGCAAAAATGGCTTTAGAAATATAACCAATTATATTGATACTCACCTTGTCAAAATTTTCACAAAACAGCTACACTCTCAAATCATTTGTTGTGACAAATTCCACAACAAATATAAGATTTATTCTTTATTTTAGTGATAATATTGATTTTGCAAAAAATAGAACTCTTAGAGTAATTTTAATGTCAGATTGATAATATTTAGGGGTGTGTTTTGGTATGCATACCAAAGAAAATTAAATGCATGATAACACACCCAACTTTGTTATATGCAAAAAGAGTGCCTGTGGGGTTTTTTGTTTGTTTTTAAGATTTGTTTCCCCTTTTAAAAGAAAAAATGTATAACTTGGGTAGCTAAATGGTCAAAATTTTTTTGCTTTTACCCACAAAAACATTCTTACTTGTGGTTGATCCTTAGAGATCCACTCAGATGTCTCCAAAGGGTGTTCTTTCCAGTAAAATTCTAAATCTGACAATCTGGGCCTCTCGCCAGCCTACACACTTTAAAAGTTTGACAAGATAAATAGAAATCTGCTGCCTAGCACTAGTTTGGTCTGAATCGAAAGCTGACTTAATTATGTTGGGTTGTCCCTCCCTAACCACCTATTATTGGCCTGTAGAAAAACAGTTTACTATTAGTGGTGTTAGGGAAGACCAATTTTTACCAGAATTCTAATTTTCACACCTTCTAACAACGGTAATTTCTGTGGCCACATTAACACGTGTTCTAAGTAGGCACCTTTTCTTTGCCACATTTTTTCACAATGCTCTTCCCAAAGTTCTTTTCTTTTAAAATCATTGGGAAGAGAGGGTTGCCTCTATTGTCCTTAGATGGTTCACATCCATGATCTGTGATTATTTTTTCACATCAGTGGCCATCTTTAATTTTAGTCTCTTGAACAATAGGCTGCTTCTACTTGGAGGAGTGTCTCAAGCATTTAAATTATCAAGAGAAAGATAATAGCATTCACTGAGGGCTTACTATACTTCAAACTCATTGAACCCTCACAACAACCCTATATAAAGTAGCTCCTAGTGTTCCCGTATCAGATGAGGAAAACTGAGACTTGGTCACATCCTCAGGGTTACAAAACCAGTAAGAAGGACCAACAGCCAGATCTAATATAAATCCAGAGGCTCCATTTTCTTCTATTACCAGTTACCATCTTCTTCTACGATTTTTTCTTGCCCTGGCCTTTCAGTTCCATTTGATTCAAGTAACAAATACATAGGAATATACAGGAAAAGATATATATTAAGGGAAAAGAGGAGGGTTTGGGGGAGAGAAGGACAGAGAGTGATGTAATGTTTAATTTTGAAAATGTGAAAAACAAGTATTTAGAAAGTACAACTGATTCCCATCCGTTACTCACCATTATTATCCTATACAAAACTCTATGGAAATTCTCCCATTGAATTATGGAACACTGCCTAGTGTGTTCCAATGGAAAGCTCCTCTGTTTGGACTATCCAGGATTTATAGGGAAGTTTAAATCATTAAATAACCCGTTAGGTTAAGAGAGCAAGTAATTATTGCAAAAATTCCTCTTTTTTTCCTTCCACAAACAGCACAAAAATTGCTCTGAAGGGATTTACACAATACATCAACATCTGTGCTGTACCTCGAGTTGTTAAAATAATTGTGATGACAGGTGTCTAGGTACCACTTTCTTAATGGTTTTCAATATCCATTGATTTATTGTTGTAGCTTTCCCTCCCTCGTTTACATGTTGGCTTTATGAAGGAGACGAGGAACAGATTTTGCACTAGAGACTGATTCTTTATTCCAATAGTGAAAAGAACTAATAAAAATAATCACTTGGCTTTTAAGCAGAAAGCTTCCATTTACAGTATTTCACCCTTACCCACCCCCCCTTCCAAGCCCCTTGTTATCTAACATAATGGTTAGAATACATTTCCGTCTCTCCTCTTAATAATTTCATGCATTAACATCCTCTTCACACACACATACACACACGCGCGCGCGCACACACACACGCGCGCGCGCGCACACACACACACACACACATAGCAAAAGGAAAAAAGAGGCAGCAGAAATCTCAGCTGTACTTCTAGCCCTTTTTAAAAGTTTGCTCTGTAAATTGGAATGAGGTCAGATTTGGAGCTTCTCATTGCACGCGGAGATTATTATTGCATCGGGTTCCAAGCCAATGGGAAGCCCGGGGGAGGGGCTTGGCACGAGGAAGCGTTGGTTACAGCGGCTGATTGGCCCCGGCCAAGACTGTGAAAGGATAAAGAGGCGCGAGGCGGAATTGGGGTCTGCTCTAAGCTGCAGCAAGAGAAAGTGTGTGAGGGGAAGAGGCCGGTTTCGCTCCCGGGTCTCCAGTTCTTGCACGCTCTTTAAGAGTCTGCATTGGAGGAACTCTACCATTACCAGCTCCCTTCTTGCAGAAGGGAGGGGGAAACATACATTTATTCATGCCAGTCTGTTGCATGAAGGCTTTTTGGCTTCCTACCTTGCAACAAAATAATTGCACAAACTCCTTAGTGCCGATTCCTCCCACAGAGTCCTGGAGCCAGAGTCTCTTTTGCTTTGCATTGTAAGAAAGAAACTAAGTGATACAGACGATGTCGCTTTCCTGAGCTGAGAGCGCTAGTGAACTGGAATCAACTGCTCCAGGGGAAGAAGAAAAAAAAAAAAAAAAAAAAGACTTGCCTGGGAGGTGGCGAGAAACTTGCATTGGAAGCTTCAGCAACCAGCATTCAAGAAACTCCTCTCCACTTTAGCACGGTCTCCAGACTCGGAGCCAAGAGACAGAGCAAACTGCAGCGCGGTGAGAGAGAGAAAGAGGGAGGGAGAGACTCTCCAGCCTGGGAACTATAACTCCTCTGCAAGAGGCGCAGGACTCCTTCCCCCTCATCTTTTGGAGACTTTCCTCTCGCCCACCTCCGCCCGGACGGGGAGTGGAGGGGCCCGCTCGGCCGCCGCGAGCGTCCTCCCGCTCGGCGTGCGCTCGGCCGGGGGAGCCGGAGGGCCGGACGACCGTGCCGCGGCCGCCGCGAGGCTGTGAGCGCGCGTGGGCGCCCGCCGAGCCGGGGCCATGGTGCAGCAAACGAACAACGCCGAAAACACGGAAGCGCTGCTGGCGGGGGAAAGCTCAGACTCGGGCGCCGGCCTCGAGCTGGGCATCGCCTCGTCCCCCACGCCCGGCTCCACCGCTTCCACGGGCGGCAAGGCCGATGACCCGAGCTGGTGCAAAACGCCCAGCGGGCACATCAAGCGGCCCATGAACGCCTTCATGGTGTGGTCGCAGATCGAGCGGCGCAAGATTATGGAGCAGTCGCCCGACATGCACAACGCCGAGATCTCCAAGCGGCTGGGCAAACGCTGGAAGCTGCTCAAAGACAGCGACAAGATCCCTTTCATTCGGGAGGCGGAGCGGCTGCGCCTCAAGCACATGGCTGACTACCCCGACTACAAGTACCGGCCCAGGAAGAAGGTGAAGTCCGGCAACGCCAACGCCGGCTCCTCGGCCGCCGCCTCCAAGCCGGGGGAGAAAGGCGACACGGTCGGTGGCAGCGGCGGGGGCGGCGGCGGCGGCGGGGGCAGCAACGCGGGGGGCGGAGGCGGCGGCGCGAGCGGCGGCGGCGCCAACTCCAAACCGGCGCAGAAAAAGAGCTGTGGCTCCAAGGTGGCGGGCGGCGGGGGCAGTAAGCCGCACGCCAAGCTCATCCTGGCGGGCGGCGGCGGCGGGAAAGCGACGGCCGCCTCCTCCTTTGCGGCAGAGCAGGCGGGGGCTGCCGCCCTGCTGCCCCTGGGCGCCGCGGCCGCCGACCACCACTCGCTGTACAAGGCGCGGACTCCCGGCGCCGCGGCCTCCGCGGCGGCCTCGGCCCCCGCCTCGCTCGCGGCCACGGGCAAGCCCCCGGCCGAGAAGAAGGTGAAGCGCGTCTACCTGTTCGGCGGCCTGGGCGCGGCGGCGTCGCCCGCGGGCGTGGGCGCGGCGGCCGACCCCAGCGACCCCTTGGGCCTGTACGAGGAGGGGGGCTCGGGCTGCCCGCCCGACGGCCCGAGCCTGAGCGGCCGCAGCAGCGCCGCCTCGTCTCCGGCTGCCGGCCGCTCGCCCGCCGACCACCGCGGCTACGCCAGCCTACGCGCCGCCTCGCCAGCGCCGTCCAGTGCGCCCTCGCACGCGTCCTCGTCGGCCTCGTCCCACTCCTCCTCTGCCTCCTCCTCCGCGGGCTCCTCGGCCTCCGACGACGAGTTCGAGGACGACCTGCTCGACCTGAACCCCAGCTCAAACTTTGAGAGCATGTCCCTGGGCAGTTTCAGCTCGTCGTCGGCGCTGGATCGGGACCTGGACTTCACCCTGGAGCCGGGCTCCGGCTCGCACTTCGAGTTCCCGGACTACTGCACGCCCGAGGTCAGCGAGATGATCTCGGGGGACTGGCTCGAGTCCAGCATCTCCAACCTGGTCTTCACCTACTAACGGCGCGCGCTGGAGAGGAGGGCCGGGGTGACAGTGGGAGAAAAAGTGGACAGAGAGAGTAGAAAGAGAAAAGGGGTGCGGGACAAGGAGAAGGGGGGAAAAGTGATGAGCGGGGCCGGTTTGCCCGCGTCGAGGTCGCGGAAGAGGAGCGCACGGCGTTCGGGGACCTACGCTCCCATCCCCCACCCCCTCCGGGAACGCGGTGGAGACCGGCGACCTTTTATTGTTGTTGTTGATGTTGTTGTGATGGCAGAAAAAGCTCCTTCGAATGTCCTCCCTTTTGCGTGAAGAGACCCCCCCCTCCCCCCGGCCTTCCGGACAGGTCTGCACCCCAGCGAGAAGCCAAGTGGGAATTTTCTGGAGACTGAAGGAATCTCGTCCCTCTCTCTTCGCCCTCTTAGTGTTTTTATTTTTTGTTTCTTGGTCAAGAGTGGAGGGGGCGGGTAAAAAGAAGAAAAAAAAAATCTAGCGCGCCCCTGGGGACTTTGTCCTCAGCACCCCCCCTCCTTTTTTTTTTCCTGGAGAAGACCCAAGGCATGGGGAAGCGAGTTTGACCGACGGCAGATGTTTTGGGGCCGCGGAGGCCCGAGAGCCGGGATTGGGAGACTCCACGCCGGCCAATGCCCGTCTTTTTTCCTCCTTTTTCCCCCCCTTGTCCCTGCAGCCGGAGGCGATGTGGAGTGACCAGCGCTCGAAAATGACCTGAGAACCTGGTTGGAAGAAGCCACACCGGCGGGGGCGGGGGCGACAAGGACGCGAACTGGAAAGGGGCGAATAACAAACAGAGACGGATTTGCACGTTGGGGAGAAGGTGGCGGCAGCTCGGGGCCCCAGCCTTCCACGTGGATGAAATCAACGAGGGGACCTCCCGCGCCCGCGGGAGGAGAGAGGCGACTGTTGGATGAGGTCCCGGGCAGTGGAGGGCGAGTGGTTTCGGGGGGGAAAAGGTTTTTTTCTTCTCTTAATTGGAATCGTGATGGTGTTGGATTATTTCACTGGTGGGGTTACTATAGCATGTTCTCCTGTCTATCTTTTAAAGATTTCTGTATGAGACTGTTGAGCAGTTTTTAAAATAGTGTAGGATAATATAAAAAGCAGATAGATGGCGCTCTGTTTGATTCCTACAACAAAATTATCACCAGCTTTTTTTCATTCTTAACTCTTTAAAGGATTCAAACGCAACTCAAATCTGTGCTGGACTTTAAAAAAACAATTCAGGACCAAATTTTTTCTCAGTGTGTATGTGTTTATTCCTTCTAGGTGTAAATGAGAAGACGTGTTTTTTTCCCTCACCGATGCTCCATCCTCGTATTTCTTTTCCTTGTAAATGTAATCAGATGCCATTTTATATGTGGACGTATTTATACTGGCCAAACATTTTTTTTTTCTTATTTTTGTCCCTTTTTTTTTTCTTTCTTATTTTACTTTCTTATTTCTTCCTTCCTTTTTCTATTTTCTTTCGTTCTTTTTTTTCTTTTCTTTTTTTTTTTTTGTAGTTGTTGTTACCCACGCCATTTTACGTCTCCTTCACTGAAGGGCTAGAGTTTTAACTTTTAATTTTTTATATTTAAATGTAGACTTTTGACACTTTTAAAAAACAAAAAAAGACAAGAGAGATGAAAACGTTTGATTATTTTCTCAGTGTATTTTTGTAAAAAATATATAAAGGGGGTGTTAATCGGTGTAAATCGCTGTTTGGATTTCCTGATTTTATAATAGGGCGGCTGGTTAATATCTCACAGTTTAAAAAAATCAGCCCCTAATTTCTCCATGTTTACACTTCAATCTGCAGGCTTCTTAAAGTGACAGTATCCCTTAACCTGCCACCAGTGTCCACCCTTCCACCCTACTCTATGAAAAGGGAGGGAGAATTAGCCAAACACTGTATGCTTCTAAGAAAAACACATTCGAAAAATAATAATGTTCTGTCCAGAGGCTTTTAAAACTGGTGCATTTACAGCAAAAAGGGATTCTGTAGCTTTAATTTGTAAACCACATCTTTTTTGCACTTTTTTTATAAGCAAAAACGTGCCGTTTAAACCACTGGATCTATCTAAATGCCGATTTGAGTTCGCGACACTATGTACTGCGTTTTTCATTCTTGTATTTGACTATTTAATCCTTTCTACTTGTCGCTAAATATAATTGTTTTAGTCTTATGGCATGATGATAGCATATGTGTTCAGGTTTATAGCTGTTGTGTTTAAAGATTGAAAAAAGTGGAAAACATCTTTGTACATTTAAGTCTGTATTATAATAAGCAAAAAGATTGTGTGTATGTATGTTTAATATAACATGACAGGCACTAGGACGTCTGCCTTTTAAGGCAGTTCCGTTAAGGGTTTTTGTTTTTAAACTTTTTTTTGCCATCCATCCTGTGCAATATGCCGTGTAGAATATTTGTCTTAAAATTTAAGGCCACAAAAACAATGTTTGGGGGAAAAAGAAAAAGAAAAATCATGCCAGCTAATCATGTCAAGTTCACTGCCTGTCAGATTGTTGATATATACCTTCTGTAAATAACTTTTTTTGAGAAGGAAATAAAATCAGCTGGAACTGAACCCTAAATCTTGACTTTTGTCATTATTATGCCTGAGGTCTAAGATTAGGAGGGCCCTACAGTGTGTAGAAAGGACACCATCTGCCTTAGCATTGGAACCAGTGAGTTCTCAGAGAGATTGTTAAATGCCATCTTATTGAGGAATAAATACTTAGTTCCTCTAGGCCAAATTTGGCAGGCCTTGACTCTGAAATGATGGCATCAGCCGAATATGTGTCAACTCTATGCGCTTTCTAGGAATTATCTGAGTGTACCACATTTTTTTTTTAAATGCCCTTTGTCTTGAAATTTTAAAACGGGGGAGGGGCAGCATGGACAAAATGCTTGAAAGACTAAACTGGCTGGCTGGCTGATCTTTTTTAAAACTTTTATGTTCCTAAAGCCGCTTTCTCCTTGACTTGCCCATAGTCACCGTCTAGCAGTGGCTAGAATTGTTTTCCATAGATTAAGAACAAATAGGTCTATTAATTTATTAATATATTGTGGAGGAGAAAGCCATTACCAATTAAGAAATGTAAAAGTTGTATAATTTTTTCCCTCAAAGGCAGAAAGATTCACATGGTGCTAAAAATCTCCACTTTTGTGCCCTGTCCAACACGGTTATTAATGTAAGTAAAATGCAGCAATAAGCAAGACCTGGGAGAAGCTGGCTCCATGAGGACTGGGAGGAAAGCTCTCCCCCTCTGAATCTGAATAGCACACATTGAGCTAGTGGAGATTTACACTTTTTATAAGCATCAAGACCAGCAGTATTATTGAGACATGCATGCCTTGGATTTCCTAAGGCCCATTAGTATTTAGTTTGGAACCTACAGATTGCTTAGTAGCACTATTGCTTATTTTGAGGGTTAACAATTGCCACTCACAAAACCCCTCTTCACTTTCCAAATGTTTGTTGATTAAAAATGTGTGCTTTATATTCTAGTTTTTCAGCACTGGAGAGGAGGAGGGGTTGATAAAAGAAGTATTTGGAAATAACCCTTTAGTCATCTGGGATTGCTTGTAGGTAAAGGAGTGTCTATCCTGGAGTGCCCAGCTGGAAGAAGACATTTTTGGAGCCTGTCGACCAAAACAAGCAATTTTTTTGTTCAATGAAAAGCAATAATTTCCCCCTCTAAAAGAATTGTTGTGTTTCAATATAATTCCACCTTTTAAAGATCATTATAGCTACTAGTTTCCAAATTTTTCTTTTACGTATTTGTTAATATATTTAGTTTTAATTGCATTTGTGTTCTGCAATTGTAATACCTTGTTTTTTTTAAAAAAGACCTTAAAACAACATGGTGTCTGTAAGTCTGTTCAAAGACCTTTGCAAAAGGAGAAAAAAACTCTTCTATATTAAGTGCTTAAATTTAATTTTTGTTCATTGTACTAATGATAGTATGATTGTTTAGTTTTTTTAGCTCATAGGTATCCAAACCTTGACATAAATAAACCTATATGAAGTATATTTTATTTTGTAAGATTTCTCTTGCTAGAACTATGTTTATTTTCCCTTGACTTTCCATGTAAGGGGTAGATGCTTTTAATATTTTCTTTAAAGATTTTGATAATGTTGCTTTAAAAATAAAAGCTTAAATGTGCGTGTCTGTCCTAGGAGGTGACAGAGTAAATGTAAGAAACATTTTTGTACTTTTCTTCCTCTGAATCAATTTTCATTCATAAGAGATACTTATATGTTAGGTGGTACAAGGCTAATAAACCTGAGAAACCAAACAGTTTAGTACGACTTTTTCTTTCAGGTTATTTGGATCAATAGAGAAGAATAAATTTAGGATTTTTAAAGAATATCAAGCCATTTTTCTTTCAAGACACTGCTTCTGGCTCTGTGCTTCATGAGAAATGTGAATCAGTAATACTTGCTTAAGCAAGGTTTGTCGATTCCTAATTGAATACCTAAAAATGCAACAAAAAAAAGAAAAAAAGAGCTTGTAAGGTGATGTGGTGGGCTGAGTGTAACCGGCTTCTTGGATTTGTTATCACTGCTCTACGGTGGGGGTGGGGGTGGGGGTACTGGAGGCATTAATGGATTCTGAAGAAAAGGAGAAGGCGACCAGGATATCAACATTTACAAGTGCTGTATTTCCTGTGTTTATAGAGTGTTCATGAATTAGAAAACATGGTTTTGGGTAATGCTAGGGGTCAGAATGTTTAATCATTTAAAATAATTTAATCCCAAGGAGGCATTTGGAAAGATCTATATGTTCAAACAAACAAACAAAAAACCAAGACTCTGTTAGGAATGTAAATATTTTACCTATTTGGATTTCTTAAGGTGGAAGGTTGTTATACTTTATTTTTCTCTGGTGGTGTTGTAGGCCCTTTTTATTTCTCCTTTAAGGCCTATACAGTACCTTGCAAACCCATATATATTACTGTTTGTGTACTCGAACCCCTCTTATTCATCTTGGGAAATTATCTCCATATACATTTCTATATCTCCACCCTGGCTATCATTTGAAAGCTATAGTGGAGAGAGCTGCAGAAGAGAAGTATCCCCAGGCATCTGGGTGGAGTCAGACTCTGTTAAAAATCTACCAAATTCCCCTTTGCACAACATTCACATGCTACCTGACATCCAAATCCCTGCACACAATGATTTCAGCCCATCTTTCCAGTTCTCCAAAATTCCGATACAGCCAAACTGGTCTCTCTCATTGAAGTGGAACTCAGGGCAGGAACTGGGCCTTAAAATACTCTTGTTTCGTCCAATTTGCCTTCCCTGATTTCCTTGCATATAGTGTTTAATTCTTATTTGTTGACTTTATATTTTACATTGTTTCAAGGGCACCTTAGCAGCTTCCAAAGTAATTTTGCATGTTATGCTGCCTGTATTATTTTAGCTGTGGTAAGGGGGAATCCCAGATTTTGTGGAAAGTGTCTCAGGCCAACTAACTGAGGGATGTTGGTCAAATTTCTTAGCTTCTTTAAACCTCAGTGTTCCAAACTGCTAAATGGGAATAATGCTTTCTAACATATAAAGCTATTGTGAGAATCGAGTGAAATTACACGTGGAGAATACCTGGCCTACTGCTTAGCCTACTGTGTGGGCTCATGGCTTACTGCCTAGCCTACTGTATGGGCTCATGCAATGCTAGTTCCTTACCTCATGGATTGTTGCAAAAAGGCCGTAATGTACAAGCCTAGCACAGTGGCAGCAACATAGAAGATACTCATTTCTGAACAGTAAGGCCCTGGAATCTGTGTCTCCCAGGCTGGGACATGAACTCTTGTGTCAGAGCTACCTAGAGATTCTTGTTAGCAGCAGAGATTCGGGAGGTGGGGCCCTAATAAGCTCCCCGCACACTTATATATTTACAGTGCTCACTGAAATGGGAGGATCACTGCCCTGATGATACTTTCGAATATTCTCCTAGTAAACATGCAACAAGGGGTTATTACCCCCTTTTGTCAGATGCAGAAAGGGAATTGAGAGGAATTCAATGACTGATCTAAGGTCACAAGGTCAGAAATGAGAGAAAGGGCACTGGAACCTCTTCTCTTAAGCCCTAGTTGGGATTTACTTAAATAGATGTTTTCTCCACTTCCCAAATAGAGATACCAAGGTCTTAGCCCATAGGCCAGGACTGGCCATCCTCTGACTTCACTCCACCCTTCCACTTCCTATCATTTCCCAAGGATGCCCTTAAGTGTAAGTGATTGAATATATATATATATTCCAGTTCAACAAACTATTCTAAGATAAAAGATGAACTCAGGGACTGAGGCAGGAGAGAACAGAAATAGTATAAATATAGTGAGTGGAACTTCTGCTTTGTTGTTGAAGAGGCAGAGATCCCA